CGTAGGGCTCATCCTAAAATTCCCTAATGAGAATGAGTTGGTGGATGTAAAATAGTTCATAAATTTATTGCCAATGTTTGTACACCTACTAAAATATACTATTTGACTACAATTAGAAAAATAATTAAAATAACTTAATTGTCAAAAAAAGTCTTATAAATTAAAAGTATAGTAAATAATGAACCCTGAAATTTATAATATGTTGTCTAATTTATTTTCTCCTCCCAACTGATTAAAAATTTATGAAAGATGCTGCATGTACAGTACTGTAAAATGTACAGTCCTGACTGATTAGTGTGGGCCTCACCGATTAATTACAAGGGAAAAATTCAAAATTTATATGGTAAGGTGATGTACTAATGTCTAATAGTACAATAATTGATACAAACAATCATTTTATTGGTGAAGTCGTGGCAAAACTTGATTTAACTATGCAATTAAAGTCCTAAAAGGTGTTTATTTGTGGTTGTGATTAATTACGTGTTGATGTTTTTGAATATAAGCTAATTTAAGGTATCAAAATTTGATAGTTACACTTTTATTCATCTTTCTTTATTCGATACTCTATATATGGAAAAAAAACAACTTTCGATAGAATATATTTGAATTGATAAATTATTACTGGGATCGATCCCAGTAATAATCAAAATACCCATATTGTTACTACTATGGATGATTTTAATTCTTAAGAGTTGTTTTGGGTCTTGTTGGGAGGACGGAATGTTTGACTTTTTTTTGAAGCACCACTACAAGTTATATGTATTACCTCATTGACCAGATCACATACACTAGGTAATAGTCATGGACGACTGCTTATACCAAGTGCTAAAACAAATACGATTAATAATTAAGAATGACAAATTCATTCCAATTTCTTGTACAAATGAAAAAGAAAGACGAAGGAGGGTCCATGAACGAAGAGACGCGCTACAGTAACATGGTAGGTAATCGACCCAAAAACAGAGGGCCGAGATGGTTTCATCTCAACCCTTAATCCGATTTTCAACAGTAAAAATCAAGGGCCGAGATGGCGCCCTGTTTTCTGGTTGGTCGCCGATCTTGTCCGTTTAGCATTTTTGATGAACGAATTGCACAAGGATGTGGTACTGACTCGATTGAATTCCAGTACAAAATTGGTAATTTGGTGCTCCAACTTTCCGCAATTTGTTGGATTGGATTGTAGTTAAGTACATGCATAAACACATGCAATTGACTCGGTCTTTGGGCCTTGCTTGATGGCCGCCTACCAACAACTTGCTGCTAGAAAAAATAACGTAGTACATCGTCAATCAAAATTGGGAACACGACACTTAGGGGCCGTTTGGCATATTTTTAAAAAGTTAAAAGGAGTGTTTAGCTATTTTTAACTCAGTTGATTAATTTTATTGAAGTACTTCTTTTATATATAAGAACTTTTAGAGAAAGTTGGTCCAATATGGTTTCTTTTTAAAGGACTTTTGGAATATAAATCTCTCTTAAAAGTTTGTTTTCAAATAAAAATTAAATTATTTTTACACAAAATAAAGTAAAAGTCATGTCGTATGTAAAATTTTTAGAGTAAAGCCACTTTACTCGAAAATGGTTGACACCTCGGGTGATCGATTCTCACATTGCGTGCTTGAATAAAATAATGCCCGACTTTCGAGACACGTGTGTGTGTTCGAACATCCCCTATGTTCGTGTCGCATGGTTCAAATTTTTATTTATTCATCATTAATGTGGGGTTTTAAGTTTTAACTTATTGACTGTAATGCAAAGTTTGTCCTATTTGTTCCTCTGACTGACATCACCTTCTTTCTCCTTTCCAATATGAACCGCCCGTTTCTTCTTCGACTGTACAATTTCTCAGCAGCTTCTCAATTATTTTATTGTGAAATTGACCGACTAATGAGTCACGAAAGCTTATCTCTTCTTCCTTTTTTTTCACTTCTACCAATTAATTCCAAATTTTGGGCTTATCCATTGTAACCTTGGTCTCTAATGTCGTCATGTGCCCTACAATCGATTTACTTTATTGAACTAGATAAAAATGTGTCCAACCCTATTAAATTTAATTTTATAAAAATGTTAAGTTTATTCGGGTTGATTAATTTGATTCCATAATCATGTACTTCGACAAATAAAATTAGCCCCTATTTGATGGAAATTGTTTAGGAAAAATAATGTTCTGAATAATGAATTTTTGAAAAACACGCAGTTAAAAAGTATGAAAAATTTTTGGGTTTACATTTAGAATATTTTATTGTGTGAATGTGTAGTTTAAAATGAGTATGTGATTTTTTTTTTTTTGAAATAATGGTTACCAAACAAGGGCTAAAAGCTTGAACTATTTTTTTAGTTTTTAGAGTTCTATTTATTTAGAATTTTACTTTGTTATTTTTTAGTTTTAATTTTCTACAATTTTTATTCAAATAAAAATTTATTTAAATGCTTATTTTTCGTACTTTGGTCGTTTTAAATATGTTTTTATTTTATGTTATAAGTTTAATACTTTTTTCAGCAATAAATCTTCAAAAATAACGGAGCAAACACATTTCGAATATTTTACAAAACTAGAAACAGCAACCAAGCACTCCCTTAGATTTTCAATGAATTTTTTCTTCAATAAAAGGAATTAACTTTTTATTTTTAAAAATAAGTTAAAAACTCATCGATTTGCACGTAAATTGTGTATAACATGTAAAGTAACTTTTTCTCGACATAATTTATTCACGATTTCATACTAGAATAAAGAGTTAAAAGTCTAAGCAAAAAGGGTAATTGAAAGAAATTTGAGTACTTGTCGGAGATGAATATTTGAATGGGAATCAATAACTTGTAATTTTTTATATGTAACGAAATTTGTCCAATTTGGGCTGCATTTCCTTTGACTGACGTCCCCTTCTTTCCACCCGTTACAATCTGCTCAAAAAACTTTGATTATTGTTAAATTGACTGACTTATGAGTCACGAAAGCTTATCTCTTCTTTCCTTTTTCACTTCTATCAATTAAATTTCAGATTTTGCGCTTATCTTCATAATATCGTCATGTGAATTTACTTTTAATTTTCACTAATTTGTGATATATTAAAAAAGTTTATTCGGTCCATTATCATGTACTTCGACGAGTAAATTAAGTCCATCTTTGATTCCATTTAATTTATTTTTTATATTCATTTTCATTTACATATTCACCTAATAAAATATTTCACACGTAAATTTAAAATTTTACCTGCTTTTTAATCATACATTCTTCGAAAAGAATTACTTCTCTTAAGAGTAATATTTACTTTTTTAAGGTAAAAAAGATGCCTAGTAATTAGAAATTAATTCGAACGTAAAAAAAAACTCCTTCGAAATTAGAAAAGATGATGTGATTTGGTAGTTAATCTGGAAAAAGGAAAATACAAAATGAAATTTTGTCGTCGGCTAATAATGTCACAATTGGTAGGCCATTCGGTGTGGATATCACTCAACTTCTCAAATGCTTTTATTATTACATTTTAGGTTAACGTTGGTGGACCCTTAAAAAAATCGAGAATTTCATATTTACAAGTTATAGATTCCTATTCAAAATATTTAAAAGAGAAATATGTGACTTGTGACTTTTAACTCTTTTTTATTATTCTTGTAGAGTAGTATGAAATCGTGAATAAATTATGTTGAGAACTTTGTCAAAATGTTACACACAAAGTAAAATTCTAAATAAATAAAACTCCAAAAAATAAAAAATAGTTCAAGTTCTTAGCATGTGTCTGACAATTTCAAAACTCTTTATTTTACATGCTCATTTTTAATTACACATTCATAAAATAAAAGATTTTGCACGTAAATTCAAAACCTACATTTCTTTTTAATCACGCATTTTCTGAAAATGTGCTATTCAAAACTTTTTTTTGGCCAAATAATGACCATTAAATAGGGACTTATTGCTTATTAAGGAGAAAAAAATTCTAAAAAACTTATTTAAATGCATAGATAAAATTCTACTATTTTATTTCTTATGTTTTACCAATTTAATTTTTATTTGTTTATACTTTTACTTTTGTAACGAGAAAAAATATTATAAAATTCATCAATTTTAAAATATTTATTCATTACTTGATAACGTATTTGCATAAAATTATTCTATTTTAATAATCAAAATAATGGAATATTCTCAAAAATTTAAACAAAACGAGTTTTCTAATTTTTTTTTTTTTTTGAGAAATATTTTTCAAAATGACAAACCATATGCATTTTGAACAAAATAGACTCTCATAATAAAAATAAAAATTAACTCAGAACTGAAACGTAGATCCAACGTGTCCTCACTTTTCCTTTTCAAATGAATAGCGTTATTCAACTTCATTGATGCTTAGCCACAATCTAGGCATATATCCATTAGGTATTCTTAAGCTCCTGTTTGAGTTACATTAAAATTTTCACTCTCACTCTTCCGTTCATTTTTAACCACACATTATTCACTGAGTAGGACTCATTTAAATGTCCCCACAGTAACCGAATATCCCAAGATTAGTCCACATCTTGAGTATGCAGTTATTTTATACGTTTTCTTAGCCATCAGATTAAAATTTGCCAATCAGTAGCGAAATGACAATTTCATCCTCGAAATCGGCTTATATAATAGCTGCTTTAGGTTGTCAATTAAAAGGGGAAATCAGAATCTGATCAACATTTTGCTGGGGCATCGGCTGCCGCCGTGCAAACGTTTCAAGGGTTTTCATTTTCACTTTTTCATCTTAATTCCTTTTTATATATACACACAAAATTAGAGGCGATCCAATTAGGGAATGCAGAGAGATGAAATCAGCTCCGTTTTGTAGAGGCGGAAGGGATCTAAAACGGCCCACTGGAGGCCGGAATTGCCACCGGAAACACGTTGAAGACGGGTGAACATCAGCCGTCATAGGAGGCCACCACCACCACTACCACTACCACTACTCAAAGTTCTTACTTCCATTTCTATCTCTCGAAACGTACAAAGTTTGTTCCTTTTTTATTTTTAATTAATTATGACAATGGGATCTGACGAAAAAAGTGCTGTGTTGCATGGTAAGTATGAATTAGGGCGACTTTTGGGCCATGGCACGTTTGCAAAAGTGTACCATGCTAGGAATTTGCAGACGGACAAGAGCGTGGCTATGAAAGTTGTAGGCAAGGAGAAGGTGATTCGTGTAGGGATGATGGAGCAAGTGAAGCGTGAAATCTCGGTGATGAAGATGATGAAGCATCCCAATATTGTTGAGCTTCACGAGGTTATGGCAAGCAAGTCCAAAATTTATTTCGCCATGGAATTCGTTCGTGGTGGCGAGTTGTTTGCTAAAGTTGCTAAGGGCCGCTTGCGCGAAGATGCAGCCAGGCATTATTTCCAGCAATTGATTTCGGCCATTGATTTTTGTCATAGCCGTGGTGTATATCACCGGGATCTGAAGCCGGAAAATCTATTGCTGGATGAAGAAGGTAACCTCAAAGTCACAGATTTCGGGCTGACTGCATTTGCAGACCATCTTAGGCAAGACGGCTTGTTGCACACCACTTGTGGGACGCCGGCATATGTTGCCCCGGAGGTGATTGGGAAAAAGGGGTATGATGGGTCAAAGGCGGATATTTGGTCATGTGGCGTGATTCTATATGTGTTGTTAGCTGGATACCTGCCATTCCAAGAAGATAATCTTGTGGCTATGTATAAGAAAATTTACAGAGGCGATTTCAAGTGCGCGCCATGGTTTTCATCCGAGGCACGAAGATTGATCACCAAGATGTTGGATCCAAATCCAAGTACGAGGATAAGCATAGCAAAAATCATGGATTCATCGTGGTTCAAGAAATCGATTCCAAAGAGTTTTAGGACTAAAGAAGAGCAGGAATTCTCCGTTGAAGATGAAGTGAATATTGGGAAGAAAAAGGAAGCTGAGACTTTGAATGCTTTCCATATCATTTCATTGTCTGAAGGGTTCGATTTGTCGCCTCTTTTTGAGAAGAAGAGGGTGGAGAAGGAGGAGTTGAGATTTGCAACCACTCAGCCAGCAAGCAGCGTGATAACCAAGCTCGAAGAGGTGGCAAAAATAATGAATTTTAACGTCAAAAAGAATGATTCAAGTGTCCGATTGCAGGGGCAAGAGAGTGGCAGAAAGGGGAAGCTTGGAATAGCTGCTGATATCTTTGCTGTGACACCTTCATTGTTGATGGTTGAGGTGAAGAAGTCTAGTGGTGATACTTTGGAGTACAATCAATTCTGCAGTAAAGAGTTGAGACCTGCACTTCAAGATATAGTTTGGACATCAGCCACTGGCGATTCAATGCTTGCTTGGAAGTGTTCTACAAGTTCCTCCAATAAATGAAATCCCAGTTGGAATTTTAGGATTCATATCTTTGTTGTTCAATTATTGTCGTGTCGAATGTTTAAGATTGAGATTTTTACAGTCTCTGAATTGAATTAGTATAATTTAAATTCCTGTGTGCTTGAATCCTCTGTTTCAGAATGTGTTCATAGTTTCTGTGTTTTTATGCTCTGTTAATGATCTGTCATTCAGAGTTTCATTGTTGAAACTTGAAACCAACTTTGTAAATTTGCTTCAACTTCAAGTGGTTGATTGGCTTTTGTGCAAATGGGGCCATTTCATATATGTATATATTTTTTATAGTTTTATGGGTACTATTGCAGTTATGGTGATAACTTTGTAAAGTGTTAATAATTTCAGTGCTTGTCTGTCATCTGCAATTATTTCATGTGATTTTAGGAATTATTTGAGAAGTCAAGAAACTATGGAACAGTAACCCTCTTTGCTATAATCAATCATTCTATACTAACATTTTAGATGACAAAAATATCACTTGAGAGAATTTCATTGAACTGTTTAAAAAACAGTCAACGTTGCCATCCAATCATCTTTTGTCACAACTTTATCTGTCAACCAAGGTATTAAAATCCTCTGGCAAAACAGAGTGATAAAACAAATGAATAGATTAGATGGAGACTTAAATCATTATTATGCTCATTAGCAAAGTGAGTGTAAATGATTCCATTGGTCATTTTGCAAGGAAACTGTGCGCGGTTTTGGAGTTGGTCCCAACATTTCATTTGGGTTTATGGAATTGGGGGGAAATGAAATTTTCAAGTTCAACGTACGCAAAACCGTAACATTATTGCTCTTCCTCAATTATTGTACGACAGTAGACAAAATTTTTGGATAACCATGTCACAGAGTTCTCTTCTGTAAGTTGGAGATGTTTCATTTTTACCAGGAGTATTGAATCTTGGAAATGTGGGTTGCTGCATATTTACGATTCCTTCATCTTAGGGTAACCTTATCGGAAGAGGCTTCATTCTAATTCTGTTATATTACCTAAAACTCGAAAGCAGATAATCTTACTATTAACAATTTATTTCCCCCCTCGTTTTGTTAATCTCGGGCTGGTCACACATTTGACATCTTCAAAATTAGATAAATGTATTACTGCTTGATGTGATGGAACTTTCTTTTCTTGTAACCTTGATTTTCATATGAATAGTAAAAGGTGTTTCGATTTTCTTCTCCTCGTGCTTTTGCTTGTGCGATGTAGAAATCAAATTTTTTGAAAATTCTAGCGCTTTATTTTGTGGATTAAAATGCCTATATTTTTCAAACTAATATGCCAATTACACGTGAAAAATGAATCTGAGTACATATATTGGGGACCGGTTGTTTGCCAAATTGCTCGATAGTGACTCGTATCTACCCCTGTGCAAATTAGCAACTCCAATCTTAATTTTAAGCTTGTTTTTATTGTGATGTTTCCGTATTCTTAAGCAAGTGGATAATCATATCGACATTTTTTTTAATGTTTTCCGGCCTTCTTGAGAGGTTGGGACTTGTTGCATGTGACATTTTGCTCGCTTTTCCTAGGATTGGTAATTTGGTACTATGATAGAAACAATACATAAGTACCTACTTTGGATTGTCGTGGACTAGTCTCCAACAATGGTGTGTAAGTTGTTCTATGTATTCTGAGCCACAATCCTCCAGAAATTTTGCTTTTGGTGGTTGCTGCCAGTGTCTCACGCGCAATCTCCTATCTTACGAGTTACGAAATTCTCTCCAAGATTTTAAGCACACGAAATCTTCACCGTAATCTTCGTTTTCCCCAATCATCTTAAATCTTATCCCTTTTTTAATACCATGAATCCTAAGGTTATGTTCTCTTTATCATTTTCAAACCGTTTTCTGTTTTCGATTTTTCAAAACAGTGAAATCGCCTTCTCTTTCCTATTTTCGAAAACGCGTTTTGGAAAACAAATTTAAAAAAAATGGATTTGGAAGTTTGTTAATTCGATAAAAATGGGTTAAAAACACGATTGGTCGCAAACTTCCTAGACCTGCATGAAATCAATATTCATGAACATTAATGTACAAATATTGCATCATATTTGCATAATCGTAATAGAATAAAGATGAATGAAAAGTGCTGTTGAAGATTGATCCAATTTAATGCAATAAATCTTTGAAGGACAATCAAACACGACAAAAACCTTGATTTAACACCATAATTTAATTACAATAATTGATACCTGGGGGCCTTCATTTTCTCATTAGTTAATTATTTAATTTTCGTATAGTTTTGTACCTCGTACATATTTAAAAGTTTGTTTTCATCAAAGACCTTATTAAACTAAACCATGCTTTAATATATGTTTTATAAAATTGTGAGACATGATTAGACATATCAAGAAATTTTAGCTGAATTTGATAAAAGTTATGAATCTTTTAAAATGCGTGATTAAAAAGTAATTATTGACGTTCATATCAATTTTCTTAATTTTTCCAAACAAGCACTACATTTTTTTTATAATATTTATTGTATAAGTTATTAAATATTCAATTTGCTTATTTATTTGTAGCAGTGTTCTAAAAGACGCGCCTAGACATGAGGCGAGACCAAAACGCCAAGCCTAATGGGTTAGCGCCTTATTTGGCTGTCAACGAAAAGTTAAAAATTATTAAATGCTAATTTATTAAGTTTGCCCTAATTTAAAATTAAAACAACCATTTGAACCCAAAAGTCAAGTGACCAACAAATCTTATTTACGNAAAGTCAAGTGACCAATGAATCTTATTTAATGTAGATAATTTCTTACTATTTTGTATTTAAATTTAAAACTTATATTTTTGTTGGAAATTTTAAAAAAAATGTATAAAGTGCCTATAAATCTGTTTTAAATGTTTAGTAAGTATTATTTTTATTTGATTAAAAATTAAAATATTATTAAAATAAGAAAACGCCCTTTTACGCTTTTTTACGCATATGCCTCACCTAAGCTCGCCTAGCCCTAGGCTTGGCCTCCACGCATCGCCATGCATTACGCCTTTTAGAACACTGATTTGTAATAAGTGGGCTAGCTTTGTGAATGAGCGGTGCATATTGCTCAAGTCGGATACTCTAACTTATAATTATATTTAAAAAATAAGTCAGCCCTTGTTTGGTGCACATTTTGAGAGTAAGAATGTATTTTTACTGTTGATGTGATGATGAATATATGGTGGAAAAAGAAGGAAAAATTATTGATGTGCTGAAAAATATTATTTTATTTAAGAATGTGTTGTTGAAAATGAACAGAAAAATGAGAATGAGAAAAATAATGTGGCTCAAACAGGGGCTCAATTGTATAATTGTGATATACAAATGCAATTGACAATCACCTTTAACTACCCTCAATTATGGATCTAAAATGCTTATAATTGCACTTAATTATGGTGATATTAATGGAATCCATCATGAGTTCACAGTTGATCGTGGGGGACAAAATGTAGCATATATATGATATTGAATTTGAACACACATTTTAGTCACTTAAAAAATGATTGTAGATCAAGATTTTTTGCATTTTTCCCCAAAAAATAATAATTTAAGTGGTATTTCATTGTACACTGAGAGTCCGTTTGATTGTAAGAGAGAAATTTGAGTAGAAAGAAAATGAATTACAGAGAATTAAATTGTCTAGAATTGTTTTTTTGAAAATTGTCAATTAATTGTATTTGATTGGTATAATTTTTCACCTAGAAAATGTTGAAATTTCGGATCTTTTGGTGTTCGTTTGACTTTATTTTCCATGAAAATTGTCCATTAAAGGAAATTTTTTTTTTTTTTAATAAAAAAAAGCTAGAAACCATTTTCCCACCAAAGTGGTGGGAAAACCAATTCAACAAAAATATGGAAAAATGAGTCACGTGGGGGTGGGAGAAAAATATGTTCCATGAAAATTTTTGGCTATCAAACATGACAAAAGTGGGAAATGG